TCAGTGGATTGACTCGATGGCACGTCGGTGTTTATATTTTCGGTGGCAGCGAAGTCATCGACAGGTTGAACGTCTCTTTCCGAGCTAACAGAAAATCTGTTATTGTTTCGTATGAAATGGTCAATATGAAGTTTATATCGCTGAAATGTAACGGAATTTTTTTTTTCATTCAAAAAACAAAAAATCCCACACTTAGTTTGTCTACGGTATTTGAACAAACTTTTTTACAAGAATCAAGGGCAAAATCTGATAGAAAAATTGAGGCGATAAAAAAAAATGAAAAAATAATGAGTTGAAACATTTTTTTCGTTGCGAAACGACGATGAGAAATTCAATATTATTATATTAAAATATAAAGATTCAATTATCTTTTTTTACGAGATTTAAAGGCAAAATCTGATAGCAAAAATTGAGGCGATAAAAAATGAAAAAATGAGTTGAAAGATTTTTTTCGTTGCGAAACAACGATGCGAAATTCATTATTATTAAATTAAAATATAAAGATTCAATGATCTTTTTTACGAGAAATAAGGGCAAAATCTGATAGCAACAATTGAGACGATAAAAAATTAAAAAATAATGAAATGAAAATTTTTTTCGTTGTGAATCAACGATGCAAACTTCAATATTAGTGTAAAAAAGTAAACGTCGAAATGCGTTTCAATGAAAATAACATTCAAAAAATTATAAAGTATAACTATTACCTTGACACTCCAGATGTCCTGTATTTTGGCGGTAAAGCGGTGAATTGACGATAACACTTTGCGTGATATTTTTGAAAATCGTTCAATTCCAACGGCACTTTAACACTGTTTAAAGACAGATTGTTTTTCTGTCGAATCTCCAATATCGGAATACATTTTTCCAAAATTTTTTCAGAAAAAAGTAACAATTTTTCTTTTTTTTTGCCACAGAATACACAGAACGGTTGAATCGTCGACATATTTGGACTTGCGTGCGTTCGTTCGACGAGGTGAACCGATACTGATTGTGTACGATAAAGATCCACACGGACAGTCAGATGCTGCTTTGAAATTTTAGGGGGAGAGGCTTAGGTAGCCCGAAGGTCGTGTTATGGGTTCAAGCAAGGCCAGAATGTATCGCAAAATATGTGTTTGAAAGCGAACAGCCTCGCAGCAATACTCCAAAATTTTAAATCTTGACTGGGTCAGCTGACGGTCTTTCCACCGCTACACAATCAGCTGATTGTTGTTTTCGTACTCTAAATTTTTTGAAGAATCACGTAGTTAAATTTCATTCAGCGTATTATAATTTTATTTTACGTTTTTTTTACAAATTCATGCGGCCAGCTGACGCATAATCCCCCCACCATGATGCAGCTGACGATTTTTTTTTTGCTCATTATGACATCAACTATTTATGGAAAAAGTTTCAGCCAGCGTACTATTACTTATTTTTTTTTTTTTTACCTCTTTCGCAGCCTCCTACACCCGCACCCACCGCTACTTGAGCAGCTGACTGTCGGTTCACTTATTAGTCATATAAGATCAACTATCGACGTTAATATCATCCGGCTTACTATGACTTTTGCATTTGCAACGCTACCTCCCGGACTATTAACATTAACACTAATGAATACAAATTAGTTAAAAACCTGTTAGAAGTTCTTGAATCGAGCGATAGTGACATGGACACTATGGAGAATGAAAAATCGAATAAAAAGGCTGACAAGGAATCAAACTCCGCTGCTAAATCGCGCAAAAATCTACCACTACCCCCAAAAGTCATAAAGAAACTACTTGACTTCACAACTAATGACTACAGTGAGAACACATTTAAGCCAACAACTGGCGGTGTGGTAAATGCTCAATCGGGAGGTGAATTGAGTAGCTTCTCCGTTGGGTACTTACCCACACCCCCAGCCACAAAACAAGCAGTGTCTACAGCCCACACACTACCCCCCACAATAATTAAAAATCCACAGAGGTTAACCCGAGTAAACAGTGACCCCAGATTAAGGTCAAAAAAAATAATAGTGATATTCCCCGCAATATCACTAAGAATATCCTAATATATGACTCGAACAGTCATACATCAGATGATGAGAAACAAAGAAGAGCTAGTAACCTTCCACACACCCCAAACAGACGAGATGAACTCAAAAACAAGGATAATAAAGATGCTTATGAACAAGTCACTGAGGCAGAAGAAGGACATCAAGGAAATAACACAGAAGGAGACGATTTCCAATTTCCACGCAAATTCTCCTCCAATTTCCATAAAATGGTTAGAGAAAAGACGAAACAGACTCTAACCCCCACAAAGAATACATTTCAAGGATGACATCGGTAAAATAAGTAAAAAACGTAAAAATGGCAAACATTACAAGCCTCTAAACGTTGATGATATTCCCATTACGGTTAAAGAATGTAACATAAAAAACAATACGAGCGACAACAAAACATATAAACAGAACACCGGAACAGCAGAACACAAAAAGAGTACTATGCCGCCTATTGTCGTAGATGGCAAAACCGCCAATCATAATACTCTAATCAACGATCTAAAAGGGCTAATAAAAGGGGAATTTAGCCTAAAACACACCAACTATACAACCATTATATTCGTAGAAAATAAAGAAGACCACGCAAGCGTACTAGCTATCATTAAAAATTAAAAAATAGCGTATCATACATACACAGCCAGAGAGAATAAAACCCATGCTTTTGTGCTGAGAGGGCTAGCAGAGGGTACAAAACTGTCAGATATAGAAGAGAACCTGGAGGACGAACATGATATAAAAATAAAGGCAATATATCAAATGAGAACCAAGGAGCGTCCCCTGTTCCTGGTAATTATGGATCCAGTAATGACACTGGACTACTTAAACAAAAACATAAGAAGAGATTTATATACAAGAGTTCAATGGGAACTAAGAAAATTCACAAAACCTATTATCCAGTGTCAATTGCCAGCAATGGGAGCACGCAACAGCCAATTGCGGTAGGCCCTCCAGGTGCCTCAAATGTGCGGGTTTGTAATAATTTGGCAATTATTTTAATTAATCTAAAGATTTTACGTAAAAATCTCATATAATTTTTCAAGTACCTTTCTTCATTTGACCTTAGAAATAGTAAACAGTTACTATAATATCAAAGTAAATTAAATATATGAGTTGACCAAAAATTTCAAAGAAAGCACATCTCAATCAATATAAAAATGATTTGGGAACGAGGGAAAAGGACAGTTACTGAGTGGGCCGGACGTTACGCTGTCCGACTACCCACCGACGCCGATAAATCGTATATCGGGAATTATAAAGTAATTTTTTTAAATTGTGATTTAATAATAAATATCAGCCAATCAATTTAAACTTAGTGAAATCGAAACTACGTTTCGAGCAAGGTAAGCCTTCCTCTTTCACTACATTAAAATTGTGACAGTTCTCTCTTTTTCATTTTGCCAAATTATTTTGTTACCTCTCATCGTAGATTTTAATAGGAAGTGATATAGTTTATTTTGTTGACTTTGGTAGCTACAAAATCCAACGAGATTTCTGACATTTTTTTGCTATCTATTCTTACATTATTTATCGGTATTTTGTTATCGTCGACTGATTTACCGAATCAGGCGAGAACCTCAGGGTGGATCTTGTACCTCCAAACATATTGTATTACTTGATCGTTTTTTGTCTATGATTAAAATTTGTTACATGTTTATCTTATGCGTGTTAAGAGTTGTTGAGTTCAGCCCGAGTTCTATAAAGAGGAACAACCCCTAGTTCAGATAAGCTATCTAACAAAGTCCAGAGTTAGATAACTGAATAATTATTTAGATGTTCTTTTTTATTTCTTAACCAAAATATATTCGATTTCATCAGGTCTACCTTCCCCTTTTGTCAAAAGACACACTCCAGGCACTTTTGCGAAGCCCCAGCGAACCTACCCCCGAGTAAGGACTATAGGTACCTATTGTCAGTTTGCCAAACCATGTCCTTAATCCGCTCGCACTATTCATCACGGGGCAAAATTCTTTTATTTTAAACCTATTATTTTATTTTTTCTTTTTTCCTTTTTTTAGTCACGGTGAGAGTGAATAAGCTCTAAGGACCTTATCCCCTGACTGTGGATGGTGACAGTCGCTGCCTTTACACTTACAGTGTACCCCCCGTTGATGACTAGAGTCCTTTTGGCCACTACATTATTATTTAGTGACAACAGTTACTTTCTAAGTGACGGTGGTTGTTACAGGTGATCACCTCACTAGCACCTGTGCTAAAACACGAGAAACTCCGGCCACATGTGCTAACTGTGGGGGTGATCACCCCGTAAATTATACCAAATGTCAAAGTTACATGGCAAAAGTCGAAAGAATGGAAGAAAAACGACCCAAACCAAAATATGTACCCGCTCCCCAGCCAGTTCTCAACCAATGGGAGACGAGGAGACAGAACTTCACAAGAAATGAAGATTTCCCAGCCCTTCCATCGAGAATTAACAGAAATTCTACACAACGGGAAACCCCTCTACAGGAAAGTCCAAGACTAACCACCCCAGGCACGGCCATGAACGATATCATGGCATTAAATCATGAATTCGCGCAACTCAACAAAATAATCAATATTGGTGAGCTAATCAGAGCGGTAAGAGCTTTGAACGCAAAACTAGTAAATTGTAAAAATGAACAGGAAATCTTAGAGACGTACAACGCGTTCATGGTAAATATTGACATTAACTTCAATTTAAGAAATTAGACACACATACATTACATAAATTCAGTAGCCTTTTTAAAAGACATTACAAACTGCTTGCGCGGCTATTTAGACTACTGCAGACGCACCTTTTCTCGGTTTTCTCACGAATTCCGGGAAGTGGGTGTGGGCAGGGATCTAAATGACTGCACAATGCACACTATACGGACATAGTAGTCAGAAAACAGTAAAATTTCATTAGTATCCTTCTCGACAATACAAATCCCACTGAATGGTCAAAACACAACGACGACTAGTGTACAACTACAGTCGGACGGAAGACTGCACGATGACGTCACGGCCCAATGCTGAAAACCTCAAAAATTTTTCCCAAAAAAGTAAGGAGAAAACACTTTACAAAATTGCGACAAATACACAGACCGAAGACCAAAAAAGTTCGGAGAATCGCAAGGAAAGTTTGGAGAATCAACAAGAAAGTTTGCAGAAAACAAACGAAAGCTTGCAGAAAACTAAGGAAAGTTTGGAGAAAACAAACAAAAGTTTGGAGAAAGTGTACGAAGCGGTCACCGAGCCGGAAGAAGGAGCCGAAACGGACTTCAGCGACAATAATTCAACATTCGGAGAAAGTAAGGAGAACACAGACTGGGTAATTCGATCAGGTCCTAATGAAAGTTTGGAGAAACTGTTAAACACTCTTGAAGACTCAACCGATGGTTTTGAAAGCCCAATAAGTGCTAATATCACCGTTTTAGAGATGAAGGAAGACAACTCAGGGGATGGAACCCCGGATACGATTAAAAAATCTTCGCATATTTCGAAATTTGGAAAGTATGGAGAAAACGATCAAAATCTTAATACTGAGTATAAAACACTACCTATGCCAAGAAATGTCAAAGCCAAAGTGTTAGAATTCGTACCGAATAATTCCTCTTCCGATGACGGCACCATAACACCGGTAGCCACCCCCAAACTGAATGAATCCAAACACACCTCAAGCGCAGGCGCGACAACAAAATTGGACCCCAGATTAAGACATCGCAATGAAGGAGCAGGTACTAGCCAAGGAGGGGGTGAACTGAGTAACTTCCAATCTGGCTATGTATCTACCCCTTCAGATGCAAACAACCCCTCACCCTTCAGTACCGATATGAACACCGGGAAAACGGCAAATAACACTTTCATCACGATACCAAGTGATCCAAGAATTAAAATTGGCATAATAAATACGGACATATCACCTACCCTAGCCAAAAGTATTATGGAATACAAAGCAGGAAGTCTAACATCAGAGGAAGAAAACAGAGACACAAATAAGGGCACGCAGAACAGTATAGATGACAGAAACTTACCACACTCGCCAAACAGTGTTTTCCCCATTAGAACAACTGCATCCCCGGAAGCAATGGAGACCAACACAGTACAGAGCAATGAACCACCATATCAAACCCCTAAAAGGTTCAGCTCCAACTTCCAACAGCTTATAAGGGAAAAATCTCTGAAAACAATAACCGTAACGAACAACAGATTCCAAGCCCTGACGGACGAATCTGAATCGGAATATGAAGATGAAATCAGGAAAATAGTGAAAAGAAAAAGGAAAATGGCAAAACAAGGGGATGAAAGCAGCAAAATAAATAACAATAATGCACCAACACAAAGCAAGAATACAGAAAAACCAACTGAAAGCAAAAGTAATAACACAAAACCAAGTATCTCCCAAAACACCCCCAAAAAGAAAAACCCCATGCCACCCATCGTAATAGAAGGTAAAACCACAAACCAAAGCCAACTCATAAAAGACATAAAAGAATTAGTAAAAGGGCAATTCTCAATTAAACACACAAACGCCTCCACCATATTATTTGTAGAAGGTAGGGAAGACTACGATCGCATGGTAAACAACATCAAGGCAGAGAAAATGCCATACCACACCTACACGTCGTACGAAGACAAGTCACATGCCTTCGTACTGCGGGGGTTAGCAGATGGGACACAAATTAGCCAAATAGAAGAAAATCTCATAGAAGAGTATGACATTAAAACACGATCTATCTTCAAAATGAATACGAAAAACAGACCGCTGTTCCTGATCGTCACTGACCCCACGTTGACATTAGACTACATGAACAAAAACGTAAGAAGGGTACTCTATTCCAGAGTAACATGAGAAATCAGAAAATCTGTGAAACAGATTATTCAATGCCATAATTGTCAACAGTGGGATCATGCAACGGCCAACTGCGGAAGGCCATCTAAATGTGTAAAATGCGCAGGGGATCATCACACACGAACGTGTATAAAATCTCGTGAAACTCCGGCCACATGTGTAAATTGTGGGGGTGATCACCCTGCCAATTACACAAAATGTGTTAAATACTTAGAACGTTTAGAAAGACTAGAGGAGAAAAGAGTACAAAGGCCACAAATTAACAAATATGTACCCGCCCCCATGCCAGCAGTTAACCAATGGGAAACAAGAAGAACGAATACTAACAGAGAGCAATTTCCAGCTCTGCCCACACAGAGGTCAAATCAGAGGTTAAAGGCCCAAAATGAAAACCACATTAAACAAATTAATGTAAAACCAAGCCAAACCCGTGAAACACCAAGGAACAACACACAAAATCAGACCATGAACGATGTCAACTCACTGAATGATGCATTTGCGGAGCTAAACAGTTTAGTAAATATAGGTGAGCTGGTAAGAGCGGTAAGACAACTTAACAATCAAATACGACAATGTAGAAACGGACAAGAACTGATTGAAACCTACAATAATTTTATGACAAATGTTGACATAAACTTCAATTTGAGAAACTAAAGAACTAACTAACTACGTAGACAAGCTAAAAATTTGTTTTTACAGTGCAAATGGGATGCGCAACAAAACCGCAATTGTTCGCAGTTTCATTCTCAAACATCAATTTGACATCATGCTCATCACAGAGACACACTATACACCGACAATTACTTTCAAAATACACGAGTATGATGTCATAAGACAGGACAGACCTAACCAAGCATGGGGGGGGGGGTAGCTCTATTAATAAAGAAAAATCTAAAACACCATCAAATTCAAAACATAAAAATCTCGCAAGAACACGTAATAGCTAATATTAGTGGTATAATCTTTGTAGGTATGTACAACCCACCTAGCAATATTTTAAGTAAACGTGAACTAACTAGTATAATGTCATTAGGAAACAGAGTCTTTCTGTTTGGCGATCTCAACGCCAAGCATCATCACTGGGATGCTAACTGCATACATCCAAATACAAGCGGAAGAAATCTGGACGAATTCGCCGAGAGTGAAGACTGCATTATTCAATATACTGAAGAACCAACATTTTTTCCAAACAATGGTAATACGCCAAGCACACTGGACATTGCCGTAACGAAAAACATACCTAACGTAGACAACATACGAACTATAACAACCATGACATCAGATCACGACCCAGTATACCTGGAGATCAAGCACAAAAGCGCTATCCCCAGGATACAGGGTCAATTTTATGACTATAAGACAACAGACTGGCACAAATTCAGGACAATACTTGACGAAAATGTGACAATAACCAAAGACATTGACAGTACTGACGCACTTGAGGACGAATTTCACAAACTAACAAACGCCATCAAACTAGCAAGAGACAAAACCACAAAAATAATCACTTACAAACCAAAAAAAGACTATCTCCCACAAGACATAACAGAACTCATAACACACAAGAATAACATACGAAAACGATGGCAAACAAACAGGTTGGCTGAGGACAGGGTCTTACACATGGACATCGGTAAAGTAATCAATAAAAAGATAACAGAGAAACGCAAAATGGAGAAAGACCCTGGAAGCAGTCAACCCACAGGACAACTCACTGTGGAAAGTTCTAAGACGGTTTAAAAAACCATACTCGGAACTTCACACATTGAAACACAGAGACAAAGTGTGCTTGACAGATGACCAAAAAGGCAGCGCTCTCGGCGAATACTTTCGGGATAACTTCGTCAACAACCAAATCAATAATGATAAACATAATGAAATTGAAAACGTATGCAAAGACATTAAAAACATGAATTTAGTAAAAATTGATCCTAAACAACTAACATCCCCTAAGGAGATAATTGATGCAATCAAGAGATCGCTCAACAGAAGGGCTCCGGGACCTGATGGCATAACAAATATCATACTTAAAAATCTATCAAAAAAGGCCATTGTGCAATTACACTACCTTATAAACAATATCTTTAAACTACAATTTTACCCTGAAGCACTCAAATTAGCAAATGTAATCCCTATACACAAAAAGGGAAAGAATAAAAACGCAATAGAAAGCTACCGCCCAATATCCCTCCTAAATGGAATCTCCAAAATAGTGGACAGAATAATACTTAACAGACTGACAACATACGAACAAGACAATACAATCATACCATCTGAACAGTACGGTTTCAGAGCCGGACACAGTACCAATGCACAAATCATCAGAATTGCTAACGAGGCTAAAAAAGCATATAACAAAAAATTTCAAACGGTGCTAGTTGCATTGGATGCTGCTAAAGCATTTGACACCGTCTGGACAGATGGCTTGATATACAAAATGTTTGAGAATGACTACCCCGTTTTCATTGTAAAAACAATCCAAACATACTTACACAACAGACAATTCAATATCAAAATCAACAACACAATTAACGGACCTTACACAGCAAGTGCTGGAGTACCCCAGGGCTCAGTGCTGGCGCCTCACCTGTATACCATAATGACCCATGACATGCCAATGGGTCAAAATGGAATACAGACGGCGCTGTACGCGGATGACACCTGTGTATTCAAATCCTCACATTCAGCGGAAATAGCGCTCAGAAGACTGGACATACATGTAAACAGAACGTTAGTCCCTTACCTCGAGGACAACAAAATAAAAATAAACCCGGAAAAAACAGAAAGCCTAATATTAACTAAAAGACAATCAGATAACATAAAAAGTAAAATCACAATTCAAGGTAACAAAATAGAAACTAAAAACAGTATGAAATATCTAGGTTTTATACTGGATAGGGGGCTAACGTTCAAGAATCATATCACAGACAGGGTTAGTAAAACGATCGGAGCAATCAAAACCATCTACCCATTATTACATAAGGGTAGTGGGGTTTCTAAAAACAACAAGATACTCTTATACAAGCAAGTGCTGAGACCCATACTTACTTACGGTAGTCCAGTATTCTGTTCTATGACCAATACTCATTTCGAACGTTTACAAAGAATCCAAAACAGGTGTCTTCGGCTAGCGCTGGGGTGCAATAGATACGAGCGAATCACGGACATACACGAACAAGCATCCGTGGAACCAATTAAAGAATTTATAATAAATACATCAGAGATATTCTACAGAAACTGTCTTCCTAGACTGCTAAAGGAAGACATATTAACTCAAAACGAAAATGACGGAGTCATAAGAATCCACGGGTGCTTGCATCAGAATCTAGACATATACAAGAGAGACATAGACTGACAGATGCTACTAACAAGTCCACAGCAGCGAACATTTCACTGAAATGCCAAATCACTACGACCACTAGTTCTTAACTGTGGTCGGACGGAAGACTGCACGGTGACGTCACGGATTTGTATTGTGATCGTCTATCGGCGATGGCAAGCTGAATTCGGGGCGAAATCGTGTAGTCTTGTGATTTGGTATTACTCCTGACAAACTACAACGTGACGCACACATAGACAAGGACAACCCTGTTTTTTGCAACTGGTTTTTCAGGGAAGACACCCACAAAATTAAAATCAAACAAAAACTATAGACGTACTCAATTACCGATCAAGCCAGCAAACCTAGTAGTAGCATAATGCTTAATTAAGCAAGGAGGCGACTCAAACCCACATAACATATAAAATTAATACATGCATCATTCGGCTAAGACAATCGGCCAAGGCCTAAACATTTTTTTTAGGTGGTGTAGGTTAGAACTTCACGGCCACACGAGAAGTAACTACACAATGAGAATGTAATTAATTAATGTATATATATTGTAAATATTTTAAAATTAAATAAATGATGAAACCCGAGTGACCAGTTTACCTAGAGCTCTCCTAGGCGACGTTTGTAAGCGAATCTACGTTCTATTGTGTTTATTTCCAAGTGACAGCTGTCAAATTTTTAAATTTTTCTTTTCAAGTAAAACCCAACGCCAGAGTAAGTTATCCCAGAGTAAGGGAACAGGTCAATGACCGAGCCCGGAAGGGCAGCCACAACATCTAAAGGATTCGAGACAGAATATTCTAAACGTCTCAAAAGCCGGTACAGATACCTGGATAAGCATCGCAAATTATACCCAGAAAGCCTGCCAAGCAGCCCAAAACCAAAGAAGAAACCCACAAATACGCATGTGAGTACAGAGTGTGACAAAACACTAATCATTAACCCAGGGGTCAGCTGCAATGAAACAGGGGACCCCCTGGCAAAAAATTTGGCGGAACGACCTTCATCTGACCGCCAAGGTGACAGTGTGGAGGCGGCGAACCCATTATTAGACCCCTCAGAGGGCACATCACAGAGAAAACCGTCGTCGACGGACTCAGAGGAACTTGAATTCCATGATAGTCAAGAGGGAGAGGACGAGGATAGCGATACCAAAAATAAAAATATTGGAGAACACGTACAAAAGTGCAATGAACTCATAATAAGAAAATTATTAGATTTCAATACGAATGAATTCGCAAATAACACTACCCCTGTAAACCACCCCCCCCCCCTACTACCTGAAGGTGCGGGATTCGTCCAAAACGCTGGTGGATCGAGTAGCCATAGTTTTGGATACGTCCCTACACCCTCGGGCACTCAAATACTGGGTACTCATGTAGATATGAGTCAAATACAGCTCAAAAAGGACCCCAGACTAGATCCCAGAATCAGAAAATTTACAGACACTGATGTACCTAGCAGTGTCCAAAATAGTATTAATATGTACGACTCCCAGAACACCACCTCTGAAGAGGATGTCAGAGGAAAACAAAATAATAATCGAAATAATAATATTGCATATTCCCCTAACAGTCGTTTTGAGCAGAGAACTCCGCAGGAAAGACAATTATACGAACAGGAACTAGAAAATGAAAGAATCAAAAAAGGGGATGATGAACCCTTCGAGATCCCGAAGAAGTTCAGTTCCAATTTCCAAAAATTAGTAAGGGAAAAAGCCAAGAGCACGATAACGGCTACTAAAAATAAATACCACGCATTAACAGACTCCGATTCCGATTTAGATGACGAAATCGCAAAGATTGTCAAGAAAAGGAAAAAGGGTGGCAAATTCAGGCCATACAACCCTGATGAGGACACTGTCGTTCAAAATAATGATATAAACTCAATCAATAAGGATGATATTAGTACAAACCCTACGATCAAGGCCAAAAACAACAACCTTAAGACCACTCCAGCAAACACCAAAAAAGCAAGAAGCTCGATGCCACCGATCGTCATCGATGGAAGAGCACACAGCCAAAACACTCTTGTAAAGGACCTTAAAGAAATCGTGACTGGTGACTTTTCCATTAAACATACAAATTACACTACGATTTTATTTGTAGACGAAAAAGATGACCACGAGAAAGTACTCAACAATATAAAAAAAGAAAAACTACCCTTTTATACGTACACTGCAAGAGACGACAAGTCGCATGCATTTGTCCTTCGTGGTCTTGCAGAAGGAACAAAAATTACAGATATTAAAGAAAACCTCCAGGAAGAACACGAGATAGTGGCCAGATAAATATATCAAATGAAGACAAAACAGAGGCCACTATTCTTGGTGGTAACAGATCCGGTTTTGACACTGGATTATCTGAATAAGAATACCAGAGTCTAATTTTAACACATAGGCAGAGGGAAGGTATAATAACGAAACTTAAAGTTCAAAATCAATACATCGACACAAAGGACTCCATGAAATATCTAGTTTTATATTGGATAGAAGATTAAACTTCAAACTTCATGTAACAGATAGAATTGCCAAGGCCACTGGAGCCCTCAAGGCGCTTTACCCGATGGTGCATCGCAGAAGCGGTGTAACATCGAGTAACAAAATAATATTATACAAGCAAATTCTAAGGCCAATTCTCACGTACCGATGTCCAGTCTTCTGTTTGATGGCTATAACACACTTCAAAAGATTACAAATATTCCAAAACAAGTGTCTTCGGCTGGCACTGGGGTATGATCGCTATGCAAGAATACACGATATGCATGTGCAAGCATCCATTGAGATCATAAGAGACCACGTAATTAGACTCTCTGAGGGTTTTTTGCTAAATGTCTGCCACCGGAACTCAAAAATGACATACTCTCCATACATCACGGAGATGGTATTTTTAGGCCTCATGGGTGCTTGCATAAGGCACTCAAAATATACACACGGGATCTAAATTAAATTCAAAAAATAGACATACATCCTCCTTAGCAGCGAAAACCCCACTGAATACTCAAATCACAACGACGACTAGTTAGCAACTTTGGTCGGACGGAGGACTACACGGTGACGTCATCGGCCGATGCGAAAATTTGTGGCTTCAGTTTACCTAGAACTTCTCTAGGTGTACGTAAGCAGTTCTGTTAAATCTCTGAGTGTACAGTGACTACAAAACCAATCCGACGTGTGTTCGGCCAAAACTAACTTTAACTTTATTATTTTCATATCGCCAGTGTAAGTAGACGCTAATCCCAACTAGATGACGGAGCTCTCCGGGCCCATCAAAAAAGAGTACGAAACACTCTACTCCAGACGTGTCAGAGACCGAATTCTAACCTCAAAACCTGCGGGAGTGACAGTTAATGTGAACGTTTCCAAAAAACATGCTGCAATATTAAGCCCTAAAGTGTTCAAGGCGAAGCATATACACCCTTATAAAAACGTGAGTACCAAGGGGAAAACAACTAACAGTCCTAACCCGGTATCAGCTGACCATCTGAGAAGGGACCCCCTGGCCGAAAAATCCGCTCAAAAAAGTAAGAAGAATCTACTTAATGATTTGGCAGATTCGAACGACGGCTCAGGAAATTCAGAAAAATTAAACAGAACCGTTCTAGAGATGGACGAACATGATGCAGGGGAAGAAACCCCGAAAATAAAAAAAATCCTTCAACTTTTTTGCCAAAAAAGATTGGGAGAAAATTCAAAAAATTTTAATTTAAATTTTAATTCAGACTATATAACACTGCAGATGCCTAAACAAATAATAGCGAGGACTCTCGACTGCGGACAAAATAATGAATTAGGTGTCAACACCCTCTCACCGGTAATCACTCCCATCGAAACAAGTACAAGACCAAATCAAGCGTATGGCGCAAGCGCGAACGTACTACAGTCTAGGCAACACGAAGACGGTAATCTTGATGATGACACAAATAATAGGGTGGAACATGTTCAAAAAGGGGATGAACTGAGTAGTTCCCAATTTGTACAAGTTCCCACCCCCAATTATAATAGACCTACCGGTAGTCAAACAAACCCTACTACCTCTACTAGTGATAACCCAATAGTTATAATACCTAGCGATCCTAGGATACAAATAGGAGTCAGAAGATACGACTTACCACCAAATGTTGGGAACTCCATACTGAACTACAACCAAGGAAGCTGTACCTCGGAAGAGGATTACATAAGTCAAAGCTCCTCGCTCAGTATGTCGCAAACGTACAACCGGGAGAGGCTACCCCACTCCCCAAATAGCTCATTCAAGCTCAAAAAACAGGGACAAGCCCCAACCCCTGAAAAAATGGACACTAATCAAAATGACAGTGGCACAATGGGTGATAATCAACCCTTTATAAAACCCAGAAAATTTAGTGCTAATTTCGAAAAACTAGTGCGAGAGAAAGCGTCAAAAACGATAACTAAAACGAGCAATAAATTCCAAGCACTAACGGAAGACTCGGACTCAGAATACGAAGACGATGTGGACCGTATAGTGAAAAGAAAGAGACTAACAGGAGCCAGAAATGAGACCAGAAAGACAGATGTACCCTCGAAGAAAACGGAGGAAACTATAGAAAGTATCCAAATATTTTTATTTTCGCTTTGCTGTTTTTTGATATTATTGTGCCAGTAATTTTCTTCTATAGATGTTAGGCATGCCTCTATTTCTTGGTTTTTTTCTTGGATTTGTCCTAATGTTTCTACCGCTCTATTTCTCTGGTAGATCCTTCTTAATTTGTTTCGTTCTTTTATCAGTTCTTTTGTGTACTCCGGGATTATTTGTCCTTTATTGTTTGTCATTATTTTCGGGATATTATTTTCTGTTGCTTCTTGTATTATTTTCGTCACATTTTCTACTTTCTTTTCCTATTCTTGGATGTTATTAAAATGTCTTTGCATCTTTAAATTTTTGTTTATTTCTTTTTGAACTCTTCCCAGTTTGCTTCTTTATAGTTATATCTTGTTTCTTTCCTTTTTGTGGGGATTGGAATTTTATTTGTAGTTATAGTCATCACTAGGAAGTGGTCCGAGCTTAACTCTATTAAAGTTTTGACTTCCTTTAATAGTGTGTTTTTTGTGACGAAAATATCGAGGGTTGTATCTTCACCTCTTAGGTTTACTCTTGTTGGCTCGTCCGGGGCGAAAATGTGGTAATTTTCGTCTTCGCAAAATTTATATAGCTGATTTCCTGCTTGATTATTCGTGGGACATCCCCAACTTTCGTGCTTGCAGTTTAAGTCGCCTGCAATTATCACTTGTTCATTGCTGTCGAGTATTTCTTCCAACTCCTCTGTATCTAAATTTCTATTTGATCTATATACCGAAAATATCGATGTGTTTTGTATTTTTATTCCCACAAATTCGATATTTTCGATGTTTATTGCTTCGATTTCTATTTTAAGGTCATTTTTATAGTAGATTGCTACTCCTCTTCCTTCCTCTCTTTTTTTTTGCATGCACTTGTAGCCTAGTATCGGTGGTGGGATAGTTTTGTCTTGAATTAGAGTCTCTGATAGGCATATAACATCCGGTTTTTCTCTGTTTGTTAGCTCTTTCAATTCTCTCGCTCTTTTTCTGAGGCTAAAAATGTTAGCCTGCATGATTTTTATATTCTTGCGGGGATCTGTTTTTGATACAGCTCCTCGTATTTCAAGAAAATCTGGGAGTGTTCCACGAAGGAGGCTGCCTGCATGAGTTCGTTTTTCATTTGTTTGAGTAAATTCAGCATTTTACTTAGATTACAGATTTTGTTGATTTCTTTGAGTTCGTTGGCTATCTGTGCCATTTCGCTCATTTCTTTGTTATTATCGTCACTTCTTGAGCTTGTTTGTGCCTGGTTTTGCGTGTTATTTTCCACTCTGTTTATTGTCGCTTGGTTGTATGGCCTATTTACTGTCACCATTTTATTGACAGATGCATGTGGCTGTTTTTTGTTTTTATTTTTGCTTTCATCCGTTTTATCCAAGTAATCTAAATATGTTGGGCACTGTGTATAATTTGCTGTGTGTTCGCCCTTGCAGTTTACACATTTTACTTTATTTTCTATATTTTTAGGTAGTGGGCATTGATTTTTCTGGTGCGCCTCTGCACATTTCACACATTTCGGCTCTTTATGGCAATTTGCCTGGCTATGGCCAAACTCCTGGCATCTGTAGCACTGGGTGATTTTATTCTTTTTAGCGTAATGTTCCCATTTTACTCTGGTATTTTGCACTCCCGTAATTTTGTGTAGATCTTTTAGGTTCTGCTCCTTTTTTACACAGACCTGGTATGAATGACTTTCTATGTGCTCTGATTTACTCCTCAATTTTATTACTTCCACCACTGGTACACCTTCGAATTCCAGTTCCTCTTTGAGTTCTTCCAGGTTTAATCCCGGAGCGGCTTTTAAAACTATTTTTTTTTGAGTTTTTCTTCCCTTCTGGTGTATGTATGGAAGTCTACTTTGTCTTTTTCTAATTCATTAATTATAATTTGCCTGTGTTCTTCGTTTTTTATATAGATTTTTCTCTGTCTGTGACACGTGAAGTCTGAAGATTCTAGGATTTCCTTAATCCTTAATATGAATTCTCTGTAGTTACCGATTGGCTGAGTCACTACAATCGGCGGAATCGTTTTCTTTTTGGTTTCTTGATTTTTTGAGGTATTTTTATAGACAATTTCGCTTTCATTCGACCTGTCTAATATACCAAATCTATTGTACGTCGGTACTTGGAATACCGTTGTTTGCATTATACTATCTTCATTTATTTTTTTGCCTTTTTTCAGTGGGCGGGTTACCGTTACTTGAACTTGCACCCCCCGACATTTTATTGTTGGGAATCGGTTTATGCTTAAAAACTCTCTTATTTCCACTTTTATCGGAATATACGAATTTCACCGGGTCGGTCTCCATCCGAGTGAGATCGCCCCTACTCAATTCAGAGCTACTCCCTCGTCCGTAAGACTTCCGTTTATATAAACTTCTAATCAGCTATCGCTTCACCACTATTTTTCTTCGCTTTCAACACTATTCTTTAGATGATCTCGCTTCAGACGCTCGACTCTCTATGATCTTTGAATAGATATTATTATTATTATTATTATTATTATTATTATTATTATTATTAATATTATTATTATTATTATTATTATTATTATTATTATTATTATTATTATTATTATTATTATTATTATTATTATTATTATTATTATTATTATTATTATTATTATTATTATTATTATTATTATTATTATTATTATTATTATTATTATTATTATTATTATTATTATTATTATTATTATTATTATTATTATATATATAAGTAATAAGCCTTTTCTTCTTGAATTTTGCCTTTCGGCCATTACTTAGTCTGCTAGTTCCGCATTGCACCTAGCATTGGATTTTTTTCATTTTGTAATGTCTCCTGATTTTCCTTATTTCTTGATTTTTTGTGATAGGGCCTTTTTTCGGCTGTGCTCTATCTGTCTGTTGTCTGTGTTGGCTTTTTTAGGGCCCCTCCTGAACCCAATGGTTCATTAATCGATGTTTTACTCTGTAGCCAAGTTCTTCGTACTTTTCCTGGCCTATATCCCTCGTCAGTGGTGACCTTTTTACTATTTTTTTGAAAAATTGCTTTGTTGCGTTTTGCATTATCTCCTCTATTGGTTCGTACTCTAGGATTTCTTGGATTTCTGTATTTGTGGTTTCCCTATCCGCTCCCATTATTGTTCTGTACGTGGCTGTTTCCGTTTGCGTGATTTTTCTTAGGTTTGACTTCGATGTTGAATTCCAAACTGGGGCCGCATATGTTAGTATAGGCCTAACATATGCTTTATACAGCTGTATTTTGATGTTTCTTTTCAGCGGATTCGTCTTGTAGATATACGGGTAAATGAATTTTCTTGCTAAGTTTGCTTTCTTTTTAACATTTTTCACGTGTTCTGTGAAAAGTAATTTTTTATCGAGTTGGACTCCTAGATATTTTGTTGACTTAATTTCTTCGATTTCTTGATCTTCTACTTTTATATTGATGTTTGGCTGTTTTTTTTGGCTAAAAATAACTACTTGTGTTTTTTCCTTGTTAACTTTTAGCCTCCATTTTTTGTAGTATTTTGTGATTTTTTTTAAGTGGTTTTCTAGTCGCCTTTTGATTGTCTTTTTTTGTTTCGATGTCGTGAATATTGCCATGTCGTCCGCAAATAGGGCTGTTTTTGTTTGTGTATCCGTTGGTATGTCATTCGTGAAAATATTAAAGAGTGTTGGGGATGTTGCACTTCCCTGTGGCAGTCCTTCTTCGATTGTGAATTCGTCTGTTGTTGTCCCGTCTTTTTTGATTTTGAATTGTCTTTGGTGTAGGTATGATTTTATAAATTTTACCATATACGGTTGGAAATTTTCCTTTATAATTTTGTGTATTAGAGCATCTTGCCACACCGTGTCATATGCTTTTTCAATATCTAGGGTTACCATTCCTGTCTGTTTGTTCTGATTGAATCCTATTTTGGCTTCGTTTATTATCCTCGCCACTTGCATTTCGGTTGTTCTTTTCCTTGTGAATCCGAACTGGTCCTGTCTTATGATGTTCTGTGTTTTTATGGTTTTTTGCAGTCTTTTATTTGTAAGTATCTCTAGTATTTTTCCTAATATTGGTAACAGTGAAATCGGTCTGTAACTCGTGGTTTTCCTATAGTCTTTTCCTGCTTTTTTAATGGGTATTATGTTTGCCATCTTCCATTGTGTTGGGAAGTGCATTTTTTTGAAGCATTCGTTGTAGATATAGTAGAGTTGTACTAACATCTTTTTGGGAATTTTTTTGAGCACTACTGCCTGTATGTTGTCTTCTCCCGGGGCTTTGTGCGGTCTCATTTTCCTTATAACTTGTGATATTTTTTCCGGGGATGTTAGTTGGTGTTCGTAGATTACGTAGTCATTTTCGTTTTCTATGTTTTGTATTGTATTTTCTACTTCTTGGTTTGTTTCTTCGTCGGCCATGTCGCGGTTCATTGTATTAATTCTTTGTAAATTTTCTCCTATTTTCTGTAGTTTGTCCTCGTCTGTTGTATATAGTATATTGTTTTCAATGATTTGTGGGATGTCGTTATTATTTCTTGCCAATTTTCGGCCCTTGAGTAGTTTCCAAATATTTTTATTTTCATTTTGTTGTTTTTTAATATTATTATGCCAGTAATTTTCGTCTATCGATGTTAAGCATGCCTCAATTTCATCGTTTTTTTCTTGTATTTGTCCCAGTATTTCTACCGCTCTGTTTCTCTGGTAGGTCCTTCTTAATTTGTTTCTTTCTTTTATAAGATTTTTTGTGTATTCTGGGATAATTTGTCCTTTGTTATTTGTCGTTGTTTTCGGGATGTTATTTTCCGTTGCTTTTTGTATTATTTCTGTCACCTTGTCTACTTTTTCTTCTAGTTCTTGGATGTTATTGAAAGCTCTTTGCATTTTTAGATTTTTATTTTTCTCTTTTTTAAATTCTTCCCAGTTCGCGTCTTTATAGTTGTACCTTATCTCTCTCTTTTTTGTGGGGACTGGAATTTTATCTGTGGTTATCGCCATCACTGGAAAGTGGTCCGAGCTTAGTTCTATTAAAGTTTTTACTTCCTTTAGTAATATGTTTTTTGTGATGAAGATATCAATGGTTGTGTCTTCTCCTCTTAAATTTGTTCTTGTTGGTTCGTCCGGTGCGAAAATATGATAATTTTTGTCTTCACAGAATTTATAAAGTTGGTTTCCTGCGTGGTTATTTGTGGGACATCCCCAACTTTCGTTCTTGCAGTTTAGGTCGCCTGCAATTATCACTTTTTCGTTGTTGTCAAATATTTCTTCTAATTTCTCAGTGTCTAAGTTTCTATTAGATCTATATACCGAAAATATCGATGTGTTTTGTATTTTTATTCCCACACACTCGATATTTTCGGTGTTTATTTCTTCAATTTCTATTTTGAGGTCGTTTTTGTAGTATATTGCTACTCCCCTTCCTTCCTCTCTTTTTTTTTGTGTACATTTGTAGCCTAGTATCGGTGGTGGTATAGTTTTATCTTGTATTAGCGTCTCTGATATGCATATTACGTCTGGTTTCTCTCTGTTCGTTAATTCTTTTAGTTCTCTTGCTCTTTTCCTAAGGCTAAAAATGTTAGCTTGCATGATTTTAATTTTCCTGCGGGGATCTATTTTTGATATAGATCCTCGTATTTCAGGAAAATTTGGGCGTGCTCCACGAAGGAGGCTGCCTGCATTAATTCATTTTTCATTTGTTTAAGTAAGTTTAACATCTTACTCAGGTTGCATATATTGTTTATTTCTTTGAGCTCGTTGGCAATTTGGGCCATTTCACTCATTTCTTTATTGTTGTTGTCGCTTCTTGGACTTGTTTGTGTCTGGTTTTGCATATTGTTTTCTACCCTGTTAGTCGCCGCTTGGCTGTATGGTTTATTTGTTGTCGCCATCTTATTTACAGACACGTGTAGCTGTTTTTTGTTTTTATTTTGTCTTTCATTCGACTTATCTAGGTAGTCTAAATATGCCGGACACTGTGTGTAGTTGGCTGTGTGTTCGCCCTTGCAATTCACACATTTTACTTTATTTTCTATGTTCCTCGGTAATGGGCATTGGTTTGTCTGATGCGTCTCTGCACATTTAACACATTTAGGCTCCTTATGGCAGTTTTCCTGGCTATGGCCAAATTCTTGGCATCTGTAGCACTGTGTGATTTTGTTTTTTTTGGCGTAATGCTCCCATTTTACCCTTGTATTCTGTATTCCTGTGATTTTGTTCTGTTCTGTTCCTTTCTAACACATACCTGGTATGAGTGGCTTTCGACGTGGTTTGTCTTACTTCTCAATTTTATCACTTCTACTACAGGAACTCCTTCGAATTCTAGTTCTTCCTTAAATTCGTCTAAGTTTAACCCCGGGGCGGCTTTTAAAACGATTTTCTTAAGTTTTTCATCTCTTCTAGTATATGTGTGAAAGTCTACTTTATCTTTCTCTAATTCTCTGATTATAATTCGTCTGTGTTCTTCGTTTTTGATGTATATTTTTGTTTGTCTGTTGTTGAACTGACACGTAAAATCTGACGACTCTAGGATTTCCTTACTCCTTTGTATAAATTCACGGTAGTTACCGATCGATTGAGTCACTACAATCGGCGGTATTACTTTCTTTTTGATTTCGTTATTTTTTGTGGTATTTTCATAGACATTTTCGCTTTCATTCGATTTGTCTAGGATACCGAATCTGTTGTACGTCGGTACTTGAAATACCGTCGCTTGCATTATGTTGTCTTCGTTTTTTTTTCTGCCTTTTTTCGGTTGGCGGGTTACCGCTACTTGTACTTGTACCTGCACCTCCCAACATTTTGGGGATCGGTTTGTGTTTAAACACTCTCTTATTTCCGTTTTTGTCAGAATATATGAATTTTACCGGGTCGGTCTCCATCCGAGAGATCGCCCCTACTCAATTCAGAGCTACCCTCGTCCGTAAGACTTCCGCCGTATATATCAACTTTTACTCAGCTACCGCTTCACCACTATTTTCTTCTATTTCAACACTGTTCTTAATATGCTTTCGCTTCAAACGCTCGACTCACTATCGATGATCCGATCGAGAATCGATCTGATTGAATAGATAAAACACCACGATCACTTTATGTATAAAGAGGTCGGACGGAAGACTGCACGGTGACGTCATCGCCAAAAATTGCAATTTCAGTTTACCTAGAGCTCTTCTAGGAGATAGTTCAACTAACCTACGAATTTTTGTTTACGGTTCGATACTGACAGCTGTCAAAATTAATATTTTCTTTTATTCGTTAACCCGCCAGCGTAAGTACATCCCAGAGTAAGGAAAAAGGTCAATGACCGAGCCCGGAAGGGCTTCTGCAGCATCCATCAAGGATTTTGAAACATAATACACAATAAGACTCAAAACCAGGTTTAATGCCGATGCATTGAAAAAGCTCAACACAGTCACAAACTTTAAATCACCCAAAACGGGAAGGACAAAGCTAAGAACACAACTGGAACAAACAACAGTGAGTACTACCTCAAATAGAATAACTCTAACTAACCCAGGGGTCAACTGTCCAGAACAGGAGAACCCCCTGGCAAAAATTCCGGAAAATCGACCTTCAGCTGACCCTCAAACTGTTGCTGAGGCGGCTAAAACAACAACAAAGCCAACAGAGGGGGAAATCCCTCGTAAGCCGTCAGTGGCGAGTTCTGACGAGTCTTTAGAATACTTAGACAGTCAGGACGATAGTGCAAATAGCACGCATGATAAGGATCATGAAAATTCGGTGAAAAAACTATTAGAGGACCTGGAAAACTCGGATGAGTCTATAAACTCCACCAACAGCGTCGAAAATATGGAAACCACAATGGTTGAAGTAAACCCCGAAAAGGAACCAGGAGAGAAATCTCCAGACACTGACAAATTTGTCTCCTCGTACGTCACAGGGGCAACAGGAGAACAAATTAAAACCCTTAGCTTATCTGCTAACGTAATGGCTAATTTACTTGACTTTAACACCAACAAATTTAGTCAAAATACAATAAATAACACTCAAGCAACAACTGAAGGTGTGGTACATACTCATAGTGGGGATGAACTGAGTAGTTTCCGCTTTGGGTATAATCCCACACCCCCAGTCCCGATTCTAGGATCACACATAGATCTAAGCACGGCTACATTAAAAAGCACCGGCGCAGTAAGCAAAAACCCCAGCAAAGATCCCAGAATCAGAAAGAAAGAACTCCCTAGTAGTGTAGAGGCAAACATACTAAACTACGAGTCTAGCATGACCTCTGACGAGGATGTTAGACACAGAATGAATAGAAATGACAACCTTCCCCACTCTCCAAACAGCTTGTTTGAATTTAGGTCACAAGCTGAGAGACTTAGATACGAACAAGAAACCAGAGAGATAGAAGCCGCAAAAAGAGCGAGCATAGAACAACCATTTGTCAAGCCAAAAAAATTCTCCACCAATTTCGAGAAATTAATACGAGAAAAAACGATTAAAACCATAACTCCCGTAAACAACAAGTTTGACGCACTCACGGACGAATCTGAACCCGAAATAGACGACGATGAAATAGGCAGGATAGTTAAAAAAAGGAAAAAGGGTCATAAATTCAAGCCTTTAGTGATTGAAGACCTACCTGCCCCCTCAAGTGCTGTCACTGAGACCCCTAATAAATCTCAAAAAGATTATAATAATAGAACAGCACCCGCAAATAACTCCAGTACAAGACAGACAAAAACCGCAAAAAAAACCATGCCTCCAATTGTAATAGATGGAAAAACTAAAGACCAACATTCGCTTATAAGAGACCTCAAAGTGCAGGTCAAAGGAGAATTTAGTGTGAAACATACTAATGCCACAACAATAATCTTTCTAGAAGAAAAAGATGACCATGCACGAGTAATAAAGAATATAAAAAATGATATCATATCATATGATATCGTATCACACATACACAACCAACGATGAAAAGTCCCATGCGTTCGTGTTGAGAGGTTTGGCTGAAGGCACGAAAATTCAACAAATTGAAGAGAATTTAGAAGATGAACATGAAATAAAAGCAAGGTCGATTTATCAGATGAAAACCAGAGACAGGCCCCTGTTTCTGGTAGTTACTGACACTGCCATAACATTAGATTATTTAAATAAAAATGTGAGAAGAGTACTTTATACGAGAGTAGTATGGGAGCTTCGTAAATCAACAAAGGCGATCATTCAGTGTCATAACTGCCAGCAATGGGGGCATGCCACGTCCAATTGTGGCAGACCGGCAAAGTGTGTAAAGTGCGCGGGTGATCACCACACGAAAACATGCCTCAAAACTAGAGACACACCGGCCATTTGTGTCAACTGCGGGGGTGATCACCCCGCTAACTATTCAAAATGCACTGCATACACCAATAAGTTAGAAAGACTTGAAGAACGTCGACCCAAGCCAAAACAAAAATATGTACCCGCCCCAAAACCGGCTGTAAACCAATGGGAGGCCAGACAGCGCAGACGAAGCGCTAATACAGAATTTCTGGCCCTGCCCACTAAAACGGTCAACAAGGAAGCAAACCAAGTAAAGAAAACATCAGAAAATGCAAGATTACCTACCCCTAATAAAACCATGGATGATTTCTCGGCTCTTAATGAGGAGTTTGAAAAACTTAACAGGTTAGTTAATATTGGTGAACTTACTAGAGCGGTCAGAGAACTGAACGCCAGACTTATAATTTGTAAAAACGGACAGGAAATAATTGAAACATACAACGCGTTCATGAAAAACGTAGACAAAAACTTCAATTTAAGGAACTGAACTCAATTCTAGAGACAAACATAAACTCAAAATTTGTTTTTACAATGCAAATGGGATGCGTACAAGAACAGCACTTGTCCGCAGTTTCATTCATAAATATAATTTTGACATCGTACTTATTACAGAGACTCATTACAAACAAACGGACAAAATCAAAATACAAGGGTACGATTCCATCAGACATGACAGACCGGATCAGTCATGGGGTGGTGTAGCTTTCTTTATTAAATCTAATATTACATATCAGCAACTTTCGAACTTAGATATTAAACAAGAACATCTAGAAATAAAAATTAACCAAATCATTTTTGTAGGATTATATAATTCACCGACTAGTACACTAACAAAAGTAGAAATAAATAAAATCATGATGTCAGGTAACAGGGTTCTTTTACTGGGAGACTTTGTTACGGGTCAAAATATCGTAGCCAAGTTAAAATGGCAGAGCTAGTAAACAATACACAACTTTATTTTTATTTATGTTTTAATTTAACTTCTAATCTAATCCTAAATCTATTCTAAGTTATTCTAATCTAATCCTAATCTATTCTACCCTAATCTAAGTTATTCTAATCTAATCCTAAATCTATTCTAAGTTATTCTAATCTAATCCTAATCTATTCTTCCCTATTCTAAGTTGTTCTAATCTAATCCTAATCTATTCTACCCTATTCTAATCTAACCTATTCTACATTAATCTACTTTATAATCTAGGCCTATTCTATTTTGGATTTGTTTTACTTACAGAAACCGTTGTATGAATCTAATTTTGTAGCTTATTCTACTGTCAACCCTATTCTAACCTTTCCTATTATTTTGTTAGAATGATTACTTTTAATGAATACTTTAGAACCCAAAGAAATGCCTGTTGCTACAAGAAATAGTATACATAACTCTTTTACATATCTGATGGTTTTAAATATAGGTTAATTATTATTTGTTTTTGTTTACATTCACTTTTATGAAGTGTCACATTCTTCTTTTACTGAGGGGCCACACTCTTACCAGACTTTGTCCTGCTAGTCTTTAATAGTCAACACCTTCCATTGACTTCCCACCATTTTGGGAACTTCCTTTTATCAGTTTTTATCTGCTCAACTTTGTGGTAGCATGTGCTATTTACTCTAGTGTATCTAGGATTTGACTTGAGCTAAAAGATTAAAAACTGTAAAACCAGTCTAAAGAATTAGTTGATAAATCTTTGTGATTTCTACACCATTCGGTGGATTTTATATAATCTTTGACTGCGATTCCTACAAAAAAGTCGCCCTACACCTAAAGGTGAGTGTCTAATATTAAATATAATTATTCTCTTACATGGCTTACCTATCGCTTAAGGCTGTTTATATGTGTGGCTTACACTAACCTTCTTACAGACCTTCAATTTCACCTTCAACTTTAACTTCAACTTCAGCTTCTACTTTAATACTTATTCTACTTATATCTATCTGGGTATTTCTTTCTGTGGGATCTATCGACTTTCCTTCGGACTAATACACTTCCTTCCAAGCTTTCTTCGTGGTACTATCACTAAACTGCTACAGCTTTTGAACACTGCCAGCTAATATTCTACAAGGATTGGGTGCATGTTTAGCTAGTTTAGGAAGCCAGGTACCCCAGAACCAACTCCTACAGCAAATCGGCTGGATCTAGCCCTCCTTTTACAGACAGGCCAGAGGTACGACGCAATATTGAGGACGACGGGACAACAGAGATATAAAGTAAGACTATTCCTTATAGCCAAGGGTTCCATTTATCGTGGGTACCACATGACCTCAACTGGGGTCCACTAATTGTGATTCTACCTACAAAGGTTTTGAGATAATCGAGATAATTCACGTAATTTACCTTAGAAATTGATAATATTAGGGTTATATATAGAGGTAAAGCCATTTTATAAAGCTTACTTACAATTCTGGATTACCGTTTGTAACATTTAGGCCTATTTG